CGGACTCCGAAGGCTCAGAGAGCTCCCCGCAGCCCGCGGCCCGCCCGGCCGTCGGGAGCCGCCGCAGGTGCCCACGCTCGCTAGGAAGGGCTGCTTTGGCTCCGGGGGCTGTGGGCGCCCGGGAGCGAGACCAGATAAAGCCTGGACTTCACGGGGCTTTCACTGTCCTTGGAGAAAATACTCAAGCGGAACCGGTGAGGGGCGATGGGCAGACAGACACGATCAGAAGGGAAAGGCGCCGGCGTGGCCAGAGGGTCTGGCGCAGAGGGTCTGGCGCAGGCCCGGGAGGAGGAGCCCGCGCGCGAGCGTCACGGGCGGCTTCAAGGGCGCAGGGGGCCTGAGCGGAGGGAGAGCCGCCTCTCCTTCAGCGGCGCCGCCCCCACGGCCTGCGGCCCCCGCCGCGGAGAGCCGAGCGGCCGCCCCCGCCCTCCTACCCCCCGCCCCCCAGCAAGCCCGAGGCCGCTCGGGGAGCACGCCCGGGAGGCGCAGCCCGTCCCCCAGGCGCGCCCCGCGGGGAGGCAGGCGGTCGGCGCGCGCCCCCGCCGGCCGCCGCGGCCCACGGAGGGCACGGGCCGACCTCGACCCCCTTCCCGAGCCAGCCCGCGCTGGGTACCTGCGCCCGAGCCCGGCGGATCCCGGCCGGCAGCCAAGCGGAGGCACGTGGGGCGCCCGGACGACTCGCGTGGCCGGGAGGGGGCGGCGGGCTGCCCGCCGCGGACGCCGGACCGCGCGCTGAGGGGACCTCGCTCCGCGACGCTCGCCGGGCTCGGGCGCTGGGAAGCGGCGTGTGCGCAAGCGCACTAGCGGGGCCCTTGCTCGCCCGGGTCTCCGTGTGATGACGTCGGAGGCCCGGAGGCGGGGCCGCAGCCCCGGCGGCCAGCGCCGCTCGGACTCCGCCGCTGCTGGCGGCAGCCGCGGGGCGGGCGGGTTTGCCTCTCCTGGGCCGTAACCGTCCGCCCGCGGGGGTCCGCGCCCCAGCTCCGGCCACTGTGCCGGGGCGAGCCCGGGCTCCCAGACGGGCCCGGGGCCGGGTGTTAGCCCAGGGACACGAGACCGACTCCAGGGGCCCGCGCGTAACGTTACCGACTTTTATTGAAATAGTTTCCCACTTTAATGTGACAAAACGAGGAAGCTGGACTAGCAGGCCCAGTTCACTCGTCCCCCTCGACCCTCCGGACCGCAGGAACGACCCCGGAGGCCTGCGGGGGGCAGGGCGGCCTCTGCCCGGGGCCTCAGGGACGCTCCCTCCAGGCGGCCTCTGGGGAACCAGCCCTCGGGTCTGCTGGCGCTAAGTTACTTCGCCTCCTTCCGTCCTCCACCCGCCGCCCCTACCAGCTCCAGGCGAATTCGCCCAAGCACAAGAACCACCCAGAGATGTATACGTTTGTCTTTGGGCCAAATCGTTGAACTGCAAGTAAACAAATCCCAACCGCTTGCTTCACAGTTCTTGGATACCTCAAATTCAAAATGTCTCAAGCCGAACTCAGGTTTCTCTCAGTGAAACTCCTTCTCCAAATCAAGACACTTCCGATTCTAATGTGATCACCACCGCCGCCCATCTAGTCCGATATCCATCATTTTCTAGTTCACTCAACAAAAATGTCTATTGTGGGACACAAGGGATCGGGTGATCAAAATGTTCCCGTCATTCATGAAGTTTGCAGGATTCTGCCAAGTTTTAAGGGCTATTAAGAAAACAAGTATGCAGTAAGTAAACCGTGACTAAGGATCTGTTTTAGCCGTGGACGTGGAAGGCCTGTGAGGTGATGACACTGGAACAAACACTTGAATTTAGAAAGAATGAGCATTAAGGATATTTGAGTGAAAAGCCTTCCCACGCTGAAGATGTAACGTAGATTTCTAGATGGGAAGAATCCTGGCAGGGTGGCAGTGTAGCCAATGTACCCAGACTGCAATGAGCAAGAACAAAATGGTAGGAAACTAGGCCTTAGGTAATGAATTCACATGGAACAAATTTTAGAATTCTAAGTCCGATGGGAAAACCGGTGGAGTTTGGGGAACCAGGAAGTAAAATCTGACTTGCCCTCAGAAAAGGCTCATCCGTGGCTGCTATGCAAAAATCTCTGCAGAAGGACAAGAGGAGCAGCAGCCAGCCGTTCCAAGCTACTGCAGTGGGTGACTGTAAGCCAGTCATAGCAGTGGTTACAAGTGCTAGATGACTCAGGATATATTTTCAAGGTAGAACCATGCATGCACTTTAAAGCCTAGACACAAGAGTATGAAGGGGGGGGGGGGGGACAGACCAGGTATTTGCCCTGAGCAAAAGGATCAATGCAGGTTAACTAAAGAGATTAATTTGAAACACTAAAAAATTCAAATCGAGATTAGTACTGGAGTTCTGGAGATTTTGGGACCTAGGAATATTTAGGACTGAAATAATGATTGTATTCAAAGTCTTTGGATTAGATGAAATCACTAGGGAAGACTGAAGCTAGACATCAAAGTCTCACAAGTTAAGCCCAGCAAAGGATACAGATTACTAAGTGGCTAGTGAGACAGGAAACATGTAAAATCCATTCACTATCGCCCTCCACTTTATGCTGTCATCATTTCTCACATGGGCTACTGCAATGGACATCTCTTGCCCCATACATTTTGTTCTCAACACTGCATTGTGTATTCTTTAAATGGCAACTTTATTAGGTGACCATCCTTTACCCCACCCCTGACCCTGTACACAGTTTAGAAACCCTTCATAGTTTCCAACTGTTGAGACAAAACTTAACATGGAACATAACTATAAAGCCAACTACAGTACCCTTTACCTGTTTCTTCAACCACTAACTACAAAAACCCATGCTCTTCCCACCTAAGATAGCCAGCCAGCCTTCTCAGTCACTGGAGATTGGGCCTTTGGACATGCCCTTCTCACCACTTCCCTACCTAATTATTCTTCCTTCAAGTCTTAGTTCAATCATCTCTTTCACGTCTTTCCTGATCATTTTGACTAGATCATAACCTATCTCAGTCATGGCCTTTGTACCTGTCATCAACCATGTTGCTCCATCATGGCATTTGCTACATTTTTGTGTCACCATGTCATTATCTTTGTTCAGTAAAAGCAGGAACCAGTGATTTTGTCACCAGAGTGCTTACTACTTCCCATGAGGCTTGGCAAAGGACACCCAAATTTGCCAAATGAAGCTTAATTCAGTGGCTTAATACAGTGTCTCCCTAATACAAACAGAGTAATTAAAGAAAACTAATACTTACAATAAAAATACAATACTAAGACTTGCCTTTACTAGATCAGGTGGTTTGTACTGCCTACACTCCATGAGCCAGTCTTCTGCATGAAACTGGATTGGGCTTCACAACAGCTGTTAAATTTGTTAAATTAAGGTATTAAGATCCTGACTGAAAAAAGCTGGTAGTCTAGTCTCCTTAGAAGACAAAGCCACCAGAGATTTTTTTTTTTTCCACTTTTTCCTTCTCTCCTCTCACAAGTAGAACTTCAGAGCTTTGCTCAATAGTATATACAACTAATGCAGACTTCACTCAAGGAAATAAAGGAATCAGATTTTAATATTTAATCTAATGTAATTCAAGACATTCACTATTCTTTTCCAGTATTTTTCTAGAACTCAGAATGAGATAAGGTATAGAGATAAGCCTTAACAATTTACATTCATTTTGCTGATGGTTTCCCTCCTTGCTGACTCTACAGAAGGGATAAGCTCAAAGGCAATACTTCTTTGAATATAATTTATAGTCAGTAAAACTTAAAGTGCTTACTTAATAAGAACTCAAGTAGGATGAGAGTTCAGGAACTTAAAGATGAAATGAAGAAGGATTTGGACTCAGTGCTTACCTGTATCTCATTCCCCTAACCAGATATATTACTGAAAACATAATGAACAGTACAAAATTCCTAACATTGTTGACTATACTCAACTGCCTTCTACATTTTATGAACTGGTTGTCAACAGAGCACTTAAGTTATTGAGGCCTCTGAGAATATACATTCTCATGCCTCCTATAAGTGGCAAAGTCTCCCACGTAACAACTGCATACATAGGAGACAAAAGAACTGCAGAAGCTAACTGAATAAAAATGTTTAAAGGATATCTGATTTAATATCAAGATACAGTGATTGCAAAAACTCTTCCATATTCTTAGGGATATTAGGATCTAGAAATAAAACTGCTCTAGCGAAGGTCATCAATGACATTCTACCTTAAAGCTTTAAAATAGAAGTCTCATTATCCACGAGAGGATTCATACTGTGCATTTAAAAAGTACTTTATATGTGGAGTCTTACTATACCGAGAAGCTACAGTGACACATATGACAGTCATTTCCTTGCAACTCTGCTAAAATAAGCATTTGACCAAACAAAAGGCCTTCTGCAGGTAGACAAGTATTCACATATTATACAGGACACTTAGTACCAAGACTCAGATCTTAATGGGACTTTTTTTTAAAAAGATCGCTGCCTCATAATGAGGCACTCCTTTAAAAAATATAGTCTGAATTGAGACATAAAAGCTTAACATTTAGACTGTGATGATAGAATGCAAAAAAAAAAAATTATAGTATTTCCAAAAGAACAAACGATTCTTTTAAAAACATACATAGAATAAAACTACTAACACCTTTACACATTCACAACATCTACACTAATGCATAGAAGTTTGAAACCTAGAAAGCATTTCTCCCCATCCCATCTCTGAACTGATTCAGAGATCACTGTATAAAGAACTTATTTACTTCAATTTTAAATGTCATGAAATTGTTTTCTACACAGATAGCAAATTTAGTTTTATATATAGGATTGTAAGCATACACATCTAGGGATTACCCAATAAACCACAAATATTTTATCTATTCCCCATAAAATACAGCTAACATATGGTTGTGGTACATCCCAGGCAGATGTCATTTAAAGCGCACAACGGGAGGTGCTAGCAAGAGAAATACTCATTTGCAAAAGTAAACAGATAACCCTTCCAATATGATGTACCACAACCACACATGAGAAAAGTCAAGAACTTATTTTATTTTAAAATAAACATTGAAGATACCCCCCCTTCCCCACCACCCTACAAAAAACTTTTGAATGTGGAATGTTCAACAGCCTATCCATTTTAGTAGGTTACAAAACCAGCAAAAACTCCAGTTGTCTAATAATGAATGTTTGAGAATAGTTTTGTGTCTTGTTTTTGTTTTTCTTTAGTAGCTGAGCACCTACTGGAAAAATTCCTTAGCTAAATGCTAATAAAACAAAATTCAATTTCTGTACAGAAAATACCATTAACTTAGTATTAGTATAGCCTTTGCTGAGTAGATGGGATTAATTCTCCATGAAGTCAAAGTGGAATATGACAAGCAGCATTAAGTTCATAGGCACACAGAACTAGTGCTCAAACTGCTAGCACAAATTCCAACAGCATATAAATTACTACACTGTCCTCTTCATCAAACTTGTGACTCTCCCTATGCATCTAAGTGAAGGGATCACCACTCTGAATATAAATGCCTCCGTGAGAATATTAGGGTTAGACAAAAGATAAATGCAAGTACTACAGAAACAGCTGCTGGAGATAACCATAAAATTTGAAACACTAACAATGCATGGGGTGAACCACATAAGCTGCTAGCTGTTGAACACCAGTGTTTCAAGATACAACTTTTATAAACACGTTTTATTTGTTTTGCTTATACCATCAGAACTGAAACTACTGTCTGTCATTTCCCTAAAATAGGGAAATCAATCTAAAACACATACTGGTGCTTTTCAAAAGATAGCAATTTAAAAGGGTGGTAGCAGCAGGCATTTGATATCTTTTTCTTTTAAAAACCTTCAGGCTGCAGGAAAAACATGTGACCAAGAGTGTTATGATTATCCATTAGATATTTCATCAGTACCTGTACCAATTTAGGTGACAATACAGCAAGATCTGAGGATTAGTGACAGACAATGTACATTATAAGGAATGATAGATAGTACCAATCCTTACAAAAGTCATTGTCAGAAGAAACGGTTAAGTGTTCAAAAAGGTATCTAAATACTTCACATTAAGTACAGAAGCGGCCATCCAGATTACATCCCATATTTGTTGCATATTTTTCAAAAAGTGCCAATCAAAGCCCAATTTTTGCATTTTGGCTTTGTCTTATTATAGTATCAGCTGTTAAAAAGCAATTTACATGTGTTGTTTAACCACAGTTGTTTGGCCAGAGGATGAATAGTGCTGTGTCAAAGCTGGTAGCCAGCCTTTTATATTAAGGGCCCATGCATAATTTGGTATGCATCTAAACGTTCAGTGCTCCAATTTAACCGGAAAAGCTGTGAAATGCAGTTGTTCTGCCAAACCACACTCCACTCCTTCTCGAAGGGAAATATTTTAGTTTTTGTCAATTACCATTTGAATAACTCTAGGGCTGATTTGTTGGTTTTTATCCAATGTCAGAAGTTAATCTTGCTTTTTCCAAGCCACTTCAAATAACTATGGAGATATCACCCTGTAAAGTGTATTATGTTTTACTCCTAAGCAAGGGTGAGGAATCTGAGTATCATGTGCAAGGCTCAAGATGACGCTTAGGAAGAACATGCAGAATAAAAATAGTTTCCTTCCATATCCAGGTAATATAAAGCTGACAATTGTAGTCCTGTCTTTATGGGATGAAAACAGTCCCTTTACAATAAGTTTCCTGAAAGGGAGAACAAATAGATAATAACTCTTCTGGTAACATATTATGGTACACTGGCCAGTGTGTTTTTGGCGTTTAAACATAATCCTGTGAATCAGATTAATTCACTTGCTGAGTGTTCATTTGCGGCATCCCTCTGTTGGGTCTTGGGGGCCCTCCACGACCTAGAAGACAAAAATGGCATTTGGTTTTTCTTTCAAATATTATTTGCTTTGCCTTCAAGCAGATTTTCATCTGAAGTCAAGAAGCATGTGGGCAGCTTGTCACCACATTATTAGGTTTAAGAAGTCAATTCTTCAGTGTTCACCTGTCCTGGAAGTTGTCATGCGCAAATTTGCTCATGTTCTCTAGCTAAAAGAAGAGTAGAGCTAATGGAGTATTCCACCAGTACTCATTCATTCATTCATTCAACAAGTATTTATTGAGTGCCTACTATGTGTCAGGCACTGTCATCAGGCGTTGGAAATAGATACAGCAGTGAAGACAGACAAGGTACCTGCTCTCATGGAGCTTACATTCTAGTGTACACTCTAGCTTACATTTCAGTAGTAAGTAACATCATACTATCAAAATTAATAAAAGCACCAGAATGAAAAACAGACCTTGTTACCTAAACTGTTAAAAAGAAACTACATAACATTCAAAATTGTATAATGACTTGTAACAGATAAAATAACTTTTTACATGCTGTTAAAACAGATTTTTAGCTACCAGTCAACTCAACTTTCATAGAATATGCTACAAGGTGAGAAAGAACATAACCCACATTCACATGCAAATATCCTTTGATACTTCAAGTCAGTAATTCCCAAGTGATCCATTAATTTAAAAATAAAATGCACCTTTTTGCTGGCCAGTTTCTACTAGCATTGAAATCAAAGTACTTTGTATTCCTCCTTAATATACATTTTATACATGTTATGGCCAATAACTAGAGGAAACCTATTCAATTTAACTTCCCTTAAATCAGAGAACCATTTAGAACTTCAGATCATATGAAATGCTACTTCTAATTATTACACAGGTTGACTTCCTGGCCAAACAGGAAACAGTTTTCCTATGGTAAGAGAAAAAAAAACCAGAAACTCGTTAAACCTGTAATTTTTAAATATAGTTCAGGAAGTTAGTTAGGATTTTGGATGTTTTATTTAAAAGTCAGAAACAATTTGAAATTTATATCGCTATTAATGATCCAAAGGCATTGAAATTTCAGTTAGTTCTATCACTTCTAAATGGTTCTCTAAATGTAACTATGGCTTATTTGGCCATTAAAGGATTTCTGACCCTAAAATATAATATGCATGTTCAAAAATGAAAGAGGAATAATAATAAATTTATATAAATGTTCAATCTCATTCCAAAAATGTCTTACAAAAATGTTTCAGTAAGTACTTCCTAAAAACATTTAGCAGGTTTTAGGACCTGAAAAATAATTTGCAGTTGGAAAAACACTTTTTCTGAGGAGGAGAAATGTTCTAGTTTTCAAGACAATTTATATAGTAACAGGGAAAGTCATTCAAAAAATTAAATTTGGGTTCAAGAGAAGTTTTAGAAACAGAGCATTTCATTTAATCCCTAGCAACAAGTCTGGTAATGATAAATGTATTCCTAACATGTAACCTACATGCAGACTATGGAACAGCTCTTCCAAGGCCAGAACAGAAGCTCCACTTAGGAGCTAGGATCACCACCACAAAATATTACCTCGTGGGGCTCCCCGTGGTCCACTCTGCCCAGAGCCTCGCTTGAAATTCTGCTGATATCCATCCTAAAAGACAAGCTAGTTAGTACTGAAGAAAAGGTAATTTTTTTAATGCTTGCTTACCCATCTATCTATTCTGTCTTAACACAAAATTCTTCCTTATCCTTTTACACATTTCATAATATAGTAAAGCTAGAAGTTAATCTGTAATTGTACTTCTGTATTCTCAAGAACATTCAATGAGATGTTCTCTACTCTTAAAAATCACTTTCTCCTACACAAATTTATTTTTATTCAAGTATAATTAACATACAGTATTATATTAGTTTCAGGTGTACAATATAATGACTCAATAATTCTTTACATCTCTTAGTGCTCGAGATAAGTGTACTCTTAATCTCCTATTTCACCCATCCCCCTCTCCACCTCCCCTCTGGCAACTACTGAGTTTGTTACCCAATTGAGTGGTTTTTTGTTCATCTCTTTGTTTCTCAAATTCCACATTAGTGAAATTGTACATTTGTCTTTCTCTGACTTATTTCACTTAGCCTTATACCCCCTAGGTCCATCCAAGTTCTTGCAAATGTGGTATGATTAATATATATATATATATCTCATATATCTATATATGATATATATTATTCTTATTTTTTCATCTATTGATGGACACACTTGGATTGCTTCCATATCTTAGCTATTATAAACAAAGGGGTGCATATATGTTTTTGAATTAGGATTTTCATTTTCTTTGGGTAAATAACCAATAGTGGAATTACTGTCATATGGTAATTCTATTTTTAGTTTTTTGAGGAACCTCCATAATGTTTTTCACAGTAGCTGCATCAATTTGCAATCCCACCAACAGTGCATATAAAATCATTTTAAACGGACTCTATTAAATGAGTACCTATATTGAATGCTAAGAAAAGCAAGCGTCATCATTTTCCATAATAAAGTATCTTGTACAAAGGTACAAAATTAGCCCCAAATTACTTAATTACTAAGTCCAAACAACCACATCTGTCCATTTCATTGGTATATTTAGGTCAGTTTATATTTTAAAGCAACTTCTACCTACCCGCTGATAGCCAGAGTAGTCCCGGGGAGCACTGAACTGAGACTGTGTATAACCACTGTTTGGAGTGTTAGAGAATGAAGGGCGGTAACCATCATATCCTCCTAAAATTTAGGACAAGAAAATAATTTTCTTATCTATGCAAGGAATTTTTATTTCTCACTACTGATGGAGGTAAGAACTGAAAAACTGTAAGCCATGCTAGTTATTGAACCTAATTTCTAATTTCCTATTGTGATCCAATCTGTTCCTAAATTTCTGAGTATTAACTTCCTTAGAAGAGGACATTTTTACCCATTCATTCATGCACACACATCCCACATACACAAAAATCCCCATAAAGTCTCATAAAGTATGAAAAGCAATTATCACCTAGAGAACATGGAAAACATGGATTTGACACATACAAATAATCCATTCCTAATTTTGTCAATTTAAATGCCTATAACAGGGGCACCTGGGTGGTTCAGTTATGCATTTGCCTTCAGCTCAGGTCATATCTTGGGATCCTGGGACTGAGCCCTGCATCAGGCTCCCTGCTCAGTGGGGACCGTGCTTCTCCCTCTCTCCCCGTGCTCATATTCTCTCTCTCTCTAGATAAAATCTTTTTAAAAAATGCCTAAAAATGTTTAAGTTGTACAGAGACTAATGTAGACAAATACATTACCTTTCACCAAAACTGTAATACATATTTCTATATACTTTACAAACCGAAAAAGAACGTGAACTTTTTTTTTTTTTTTTTGGTACCTCTGAATCCATTGGCAGGGCCCCTGTATCCATTCATTAAGCCTCTAGCACCACGGGAACCACCACGAGACACACCACGACTATTGTAATAGGGCTGACTGCTACGTGGAAATCCAGTGTTCTGCTGGGGAGGCTGCTGATGGTTACCAGTCACTTGGTGGGGCTGGTCCTGGGAACCATGGTAAGTGCCAACCACTGTAATAAAAAGAAAAAATGTGTACACACACACACACACACACACACACACACACACACACACACCACACACAAACAGCTCATTATAATCTGTTCTCTCACGTTTTCTGGTTTAAGAGTTGTCTTTAAATACTTTCTCTTCAAATTGTCTTTAAGTTTTCATATTAACAATAGGGAAAATTATACATTAATTAAGTCATCAAATCTCCATTTTTCTCCCACCCATAATTAATAAGCTAAAGGGAATAGAATTCTCCAACAATTCCAAACCTTTAGAAGCACATACAAATGTGTGAGAGCACAAAATTCTATCTTTCCAAATGAAATGAAAACCTGTATTATTAAACATCTTCTGAGGGGCATCTGCCTAATAACACAAGAGACCTACAATAATTCAAAGGAAACTTTACATACTGGAACATCACAATTACCATTTTGTATCATTTAATTATTTCTTTTCACTATAAAGCTCCTTAGTGATAAAAGCTTTCTTACCCCTTTAAATTTCCCTTGATACTTAGTGAAACACACAAAACCATACTCTCCCAAAGCTAGACAAGCATATGGTGGAATTTCAGTAATTATAAAGATAAATCAGCAGACACCTTCAACTTACACCTCCCTTAAGGCCTGATTCCATTTCAAGTATTTTAAGTACAACCAATTTACAAGACAGTTAAATAGTGCTCATGCTGGCACCCAACCTCATGAGGTAAAGAGAGGATCCTAGAAGGTTCATACTAACCTTGCACACCCTCTCCTTCCACAAGGAGGATAAGTCTAGAATCTAGAAATCTTCAAAAATTATATCTTGAGGTACCTGTCTGCTTATAATTCATGATAAAAAAGAAAAACAGGATGCAAAACTACCTTTGGGAGATGAGGAAGGCAGACACTAAAGGGAAGGCCCACACCCCAGGAACAAAAAAAAAAAAAAAAAAAATCAGCCAGCCGCTTGCCAGCCCAACCAAACCTCCCATGTTTAGGCAGAGAGAAAAGGTGGTGTAATTCTTGAAAAACTTTACCTGATACATTTTATATCTTCAAGAAACCCCAAACACATTTATCAGTTCTTACAACGCTTTTTTGCAAAGAAAAAAGCGCAAGCATGCCTAGGAGAAGGGGTAATGGCTCCTTTCTGAACTATGCAATTAATGGACCAATTATACTATTCACAGGGTGATCTTTCTACAGACTACCTTGCACTACATTCTCCAAATTCAAAATTACACACAAGTATTATGATTATAGGTAACATCTTCTATCTGAACAGATTCATTCACATGCATGTAGAGAGTAGTCAAAAGTAAATTTTCAACTCAACTTTATCAGTAAGAAATTTATTAGTCTTGGTCAAATATGACTGCATGAAAACTCACAGCAATACAATTAAAGTGTGTTCTTCATTTAAAAATAGAATTCCTTAAAAAAATAAAATAAAAAGCCACCAGAATTTCTATCAAAGTGTTTGGTACAGCATAAACTCTAAGTCCATAAATAATAGCTAGAATTTTGCCATTATCCCTCTTTCAGGTTGTTCCTGACTACATAGTACAATTTGCTGTGGAACACGTATAATATTAGGGGCCTTTAGACTTTGTGCTGACATGCTTATGAGAACATGGCAATAATTAAAGGAGCCTGAGAGCACGAAGCCCAGTTTAATCACTCAGGAGCTGAACACAGCACAACGGATAAATACGTATCAGATTACAGCTGATTCAGACTCCCTACTATTTACTGGTGCTGAATACTACAAGGATATGTAAAAATTTAATACTGAAAAATCCATAATGTTGATCCAAGTCGATCAAGGAATTGGCAATTAGAATATTTCATAGTTATTTAAATCAGTCTGGTAAAATTAAACTCCTATGATTTTATTAGCAAGGTTTGCTAGCTTGTTGTGGGATGCCAATTAAACAACCTGGGCTCTACATAACCAAAGACCGAAAAGCAGGTAAGGTATTTCATGCCTTAAAGAAATCTACAATTTATCTTTATCTTCATTATTAAGTGGTAACTAGCCAACTTAGGAATGACTTTACTTACCAACAAACACTTTGTTTCAACCTTGTCTACCATATATAACTACCAGGAGATTTTTGCATGTTTTATCCTAACTAAAGATTTTTGCAGTTATCCTGATAACCAACGCAACTCCTTACTGCTTCTTAACTGCAAAACTGACTTCCTACCTACCAGCTATCATGCTACCTGCCCCCACTTAATTAGCAATTAAAAGTAAAGTTGATCATAATTTAAGTAACAAGTTTAGTCCCACTAAAATCACAGAATGAAATGGAAATATTATGAATGCTTACTGATCAAAAGAAAATTGGTGTCAGGTCTCCAAAATAAATGCAAATAATTCACATATGGACTTGATTTAATTCAGGATGTATAATGAAAAATCTATAAGGTCTACTAAAACAAAACTCTTAGACACTGCCACCCCAAAATCTAAATTCTACTACTGTCAGTAACTATGCTGGAAAGCAAGCAGCCAAGGAAGTGACACCCGTTTTCCTACCTGTTTGAAGCTGTTCTTGCTGAAGGTCTGTTTGTTCTACTTGGTGAGGCTGACTAGAAAAGCTCTGGTTATAACTGGCCTGGTACTGATTTTGCTGTTTCAAAGTTTCTGGTTCATTAACAGGAGGAACTGGGGCATTCATATTGAACACCTGTAAGTAAGTAAAGTAAATAAAATAAATGATTACTTCATCCCTTTCTGCTAATAATTTCCCTGCTTTTAACAAGGCAGACCTCAATGCTGGTTTTACCTCAGATGTAAATACATTACAGAAGTCTCAAACACATACATTCTCTCTCTGTGTGTGTGTATGTATACATACACACACACCCCACACACACACGTTTAAAGAAGAGCCTAAGTAGGGATCAAAATCTAAAAAGACACACAATCAGCAGCCTTGGAAACGCTATTATAAATGAGAAAGCTTTTTAAAAGATGCAAATCACGGATACACATGTCACTTATATAAATTAATTCTATGAACTTTAAATTTGAACTGAATATTTTATTCATTTTTACTTTTGACATTTTAATCAAAAGTTAATATTTTAATATTTAACTCTATGGACTTTCCCATGAGCACTGATTTAGCTGCATCCCATTACACTATTTTCAACATCATTTTCTAGAAATTCTGCAATTTAGAGATGCTTACTAACTAAAAAAGCACAAACTATAACGTGAAATTTACTATGTGAAACTTGAGAAAAATAAAAGATTAAGCAAATATGGAAAAATGTAGACTACTGTTAAATCTAGGCAATGATTTATATACACACACAGTAGTAGTCTACTTTTCTTCATGTTTAGTTTTGGTCAAATGAAAAGAATGAAATGATAAAACAGGAAGATGTGAGCACACAACTCCTAAGACTTAAATTTATCTCTGGGAGCAGGAAAAAAATCAGTTTATGTTCAGTTAAATATACTCTACAGTTAGGATAGATGCACACTCAAACACAAAGCTAAGAGAAGGCCTTTTTTGTTGCGACTCTGGCATGATCATAGTATACACTAGGCATTTAATGTTAGTTCAATTACCGTTTGCATGGATTGGAATGGAGCTGCATTTACATTGATTCCACTGCTATGTAATGGTTTGCTTGTCCCAGCCTGGAATACCTGAGGCTGAGAAGCAGCCGGAAGGGATGATGACGCTGTAGTCTGATCTGTATTTAAAGAGATTGTTGCCTATAACACAAAATGAATAGATACACTTTAGTGGTAAACTAAACTTAGCCAAGTCTACTATCCAAGTCTTAGTATGTTTAGAAATTCAACTATTTCATAAAAGCAAAATACTGTATTGCATGCATTAGGTCCAAAAAGAGTCACAATATTAACAGTATTTACCTCTGCCCAATTCATGAATAAGTGCCTCATCAAGTTTATGTTACCTAGTAACAGAAACTTGCCTGAATCTGGTCAATTGGTTCCTTTTGTGGTCGTTGCTCTGTAGCATGAGAAGGCTGGTACAAGGGTTGAGATGCTGTATACCCCTCACTTGTAGATGAAACCAAAGGAACCTACACAGAAATAAAGCAATCAAAGCTGCTTTCTGTTATAAATCAAGTCTAATACAGACAGGGCTAAGAAACAGATACGCCCGTTAAAGAGACTATGAAACTTAACTGCAAAAAAAGTGCTTCTAATATTAAAGCTGAATGTTAAATAAACCCAAGTCCAGTTATGAAGTTCCCAACAAATGCTTCTAAATGGCAATATCTAAATTTTAGAATTAGGACATTTAAAATATGTCTTCTTAAATTCTACTCAGTTCAAAATGAAAAAGCATCTCTCCTTATAATAAACTATTATAAACAAGAGACTTAGCAAAAAGACAGTATTTTTTAAGTTATTAAAACAAAAGTAAATGTAACATGGAAATTTTAAAGGCTGAACCTACCCATGCCAGACTTAGACAATGATAAAATTCATACCTGACTTTCATAATTTAAGAAAGAGACCCAAAACCTGATTAAAAACAAACCTGCAGCACTATTTCTGTCACTCTTACCTGTGTAGCTTCTGGTTGTACAGGAACTTGATTAGGTTGAGCAAGTCTAGATTCAGAATGAACTGTAAAATTCACCAAAAAAACCCAGTTATCTAAAATCAAATTTCTTCAGAGAAAATGTCTATAGCCAAATCCTAAAAGAAAACTTTATAGTAATCATGAAAATAATTTGGCAAAGTATAGGTAGGAGTTAAGCTGTCAAGTGAGCATTTTGGTTTCCTGGTAGTTATTATTAGTCAACTCTCACAATGAGTTTTATTTTGGAGTTCTGCTGAAGACATTAGTGAAAAAGCCACTAACAAAGAAGTATACAGCAGAACACGCAGGAATCAATGCCAGAGTTACCCATGAAAATAGCCTTACTCAACACCTTAGATAGGTAATAACTAAGTAATATTTTAACATTATCAACTTGCAATATAATCATAAATACTTCCATGGGAAAAAATAAAAATACTACCTTTAAAAATCCTATATTCAATTCAGTGTGCATACGGTCACTCCCACCAGTCTTCTAACTCCCTTCCCCAACCATGGTTAATGAATCAAAGATAACAGGATCTGTGGTTAGTCATTTAGAAATCACCCATTTTCACTGGAGAGGCTAACGAACTCAGTATTAAGTGAGTATCGAAATAGCTTACAGGTTATATCAATGGTGTATGTGTTGATTTTGGCACAACTTTCCAGCTATACAAACTTTCTTCCTCTGAACAGAATTCAGAAAATGAACACTAGTAATAGGAACTCTGATTCCTTTACAGAAGGCCTAATCCTGATATGTTTTCTAACTTTTGGTAGAGCTATGAGAGATATGAGCTCCCTTTACACTTTGGAGAAATCCTAACTTAACAAGTTAACTGTGTCCTTAAGCATGCTTCTATTCAGCAACTCCTTTTATGACACTGAAGATTTACAAGACATTAAATGTTATTTTATACAGTTCCACTTTTGTGCCCTTAATGATGACATGTTCTGGGAAAGAAACCAAGACTCAAAATTATTAATGGTCCCGAAAAAAGATGGTCCATTTAACCCAGTACAAGACACCAACAAGTCTATTTAGTGCTGCTATTTCTAATAATGGTGTTAAGACTAGTAAGAGTTTGAAACTTCAACTATCTTTTGGCCTATCTTCTTCCCCTTTCCTCATAAGCATCCCCTTACCCACTTCACACTGTTATATCTCATTTTTATTCATGTAAATAAAATGTTCAGAAATTCTCCTAAAAAGCTCTAAGCATCCTTCAGAGAAAAAATACCTCTATTATTTTTATGCTTAATTTTGTTTAAAAAACCAAGCAAAATTGGTCTTAATGTTACAAATCAGGAAATGGTTCCCACAGGGCTGGAAGAGAGGGTAACCAGTGACTAAAAAGGGACACAAATAGGCTTCTGGAATACAGGTAATGTTCCATTTCTGGGTGCTGGTGTGATCAGTTTGTGAAAACTCATCAAACCACATTTACATGTACTTAAGTCTATGTATGATAATAAAAGGTTTAAAAAAAGCAACAGAACTACAGTTATTCATATTACAGGGAAAAACAATAACATTTTCTTATCATATTAAAAGACACAAGATCCAAGAGTTAAGCAAACATTAGAAGGTAAAAATTAATTTTCACATACTTTACAAAAACCTGAAAGTGCTGGCCCTATGTTCCTCACATAAGAATATACCATAACTAACCTGGAGGGCAAACCAGCTGGGGCATGTCCATGTTTTGTGTCGGATTCATAGGCTGTGCAGATACAATGGCAGGATCGAGTGTCTGGTTTTCAAAATCCAGCATTGAATCCTACAATTTAGGATATGATGGAATTAAATGAAATAATGTAAACACTTAAACCTTCAGGTAGTTCTGCCTCAACTCCACCTACCTGTATGAAATTATAGGGCCCCTGCATCTGCGCCATAAGGTCCTGGACTCGCTGTCTTCTCACAAGGGGATCTGCCTGAGCCACCGGAGTCAAAGAGTGGGGCTCTGGAACTGAAGGAGACGCAGCCTGAGGTTGCTGCTGGAGTGAATTCACCACCTAAAGGGAAAAAAGTGGGAAAAAGCTGCAGACTGGGAAAATACAAGAGCTCCATTCATAACCATCATGACAGGTACTCAAACTATACAGGACACTACACTGTAAACAGAATAGTAGGGTTTTAATGTAGTTACTCAAACTGACCACAATGATAAATTTAACATTCAGTGCTATCACTTCTATGGTGTTCTCAATTCCAAAGGATCACCATGTAGCTCTTCAGATTTACTTTATAAACTGCTTTCAAAGATTACCTATACTTGCTTCCCCCAAGAATGTATTGTGCTTAACCTGCTATACCTTCTACGGTAATTAAATCTGTATTTATCAAATACATATTCATCTCAGTACCTCATATATAGTCAGCACTCAAGAAAAGTTAGTTATTATTATCATCAAACTTTGGGTTCCTACCATTTCATTCTCTCTGCCAATACGATAGGATCAAGCCCTAGCACCGTATCTAACTTGCTACAAAAGCCAACGCTCACTATACCTACCTTTTTCCTAGATCTAATCATTTCTCCTGATTATTTGTAGTAACTCTCTGCTCTTCCGGGAAGTCTAAATCACATCAAATTAACATTCTCTCTGACTTTTAAAATTGGGCAAGTCATACCTGATGAGCCTGGATAAATCATAACCTTACTTCTTTTATAAGCAATAATGAGATAATAATCACTACCTAAACTGTTACCATGAAGATCAACTAACTGATCTGTCATCTCACCACGATGCTCAAAAAATTCCTTAGAATTCCATCTGAATAGCTTTTAGAAAGGCCCTACCAACTAAGTACTTAAGAACAAACCATGCTGGCACAGTGCTAGATATGAGAATACATTTTTCTCTCCCAGTAACATGCAAAAAGTACTTAACTAAAAGCACTGTTTACTTCCCAAACCTTCCTACTTTGCCAACACATGCTTTTCATTCCTAGTATTCAATAAAGCAAATAAGCTAATTCATTTCTACCTCTCTATCCATGCTATTATATACTTACTACCTCACTCCCCTAAAAAAATACACCAAATCTACTTAGTCTAGGCCCAGGGGGTTTGCATACCTCTTATAAAAATCACCACTCTACAGATCTTTCAGATCTATTTTTCTTCTAACCCTCCTCTAACATTTCTGAACTCCCTCGCGTAATTCAGAAATAAATACAGTCTTGCTAGTGCTTTGTGGGACAGTGTTTTCATCCAAACTAGGTAACTCTCTAAGTAAAGGACAAGTTCTTTACTGAATCTATCAATAATGCATTTTGGTACATCAATAAAGAGCTATAGGTACTGGTACAATTACACTTTTGGAGAATGATATTGATACAGTAATATTGAAGAGAAAAGCACAGATATATAAAAGGAGTCACCTAAAAGGGGGATGGAAAAGGACCTCAAGGACAAACTTGGTAAGGAATTTTTATTTTATCTTATAGGTAACACAGCACCCTCTAAAAATTTCAAGTAAAAGCAACTTAATCAAAACTAACTTTTCTAATAATTGACCTGTAAAAGTAAATACGGCCTGAGGCAGTCAGAAAAGAAAAATATGAAGGGGAGTACCTGAACTAGACATTAGGCTCTGAAAACAGGTAATGTCAGCTGAGCAAGAGAATTAAGAAACACTAGAGGAAGTCTAGAGTATTAGGGAAAAGGAGGAGTCTAAGATGACATTCCAACACACCCCTTAGGAGGTGGGCCTTTTCTGAAAGCTATCCATGTGGAAGCTCAGATTTTTATAGAGCAACTTGGTATGAAAAACACACAAATCATGTACTTTAAAAAAAATTATACACAAATAACTATATAGAAGTTTTCTGTAGCTGGAGCAGCAGAGATTCTTTTAAACATCCACAGGCATAAATTATCTTTTAAACATAATGATCTTGTTATGTTTATCAAGTTTGTTATGATAATAAATGCACTAACACTGCAAAGGACTAATAATCTTTATTTGTTCTTAAGAGAGCTAAACATTACTAATAAAAACAAAGGACATCGACCTTGCAACCAAGAGGATGCTTACCTCCACCGTTTCGACCGTCCACTCATCTACCTGCTCCTTTTCACCACTGCTGAACTGTGTTTCTGCCATAAATTGTCTATTTACATACTGCAAAGCAAAGTAAATGTTTGAGAGCTCTGCTTGAAAGGCAGAAAAAGAAAGCTAATGTTAAATAAAAATCATACCTCCGTTGATTCAACTTCACTTTGTTCAGTGTATTCTTCTGCTGGCTCAGGCTCTAAGAGGTTAAAAAATGATAAACATGAATGTAACAACATCTTTTTAAAATTAACAATTCATTTAAATTTCAAATAGGTTATAAGTCTCCGTATTTTATCATTCTTTCAATAATATATTTAGAAAGAGTGTTCTTTACCGTTTATTCCAGAATGAAATAGGTTCAACAGTAATTACTGGATGAGGTATAATGCCAATAAAGAGCTAAATTAAAACTTCTCTTGGCTTAGAAGTGATACTATAAAGCAGCATACAGATTAAAATCTTACTCTCATACTTTAATCACTTGGTAAAAGGAGTTAAAGGTGGGTAGGAGACTTCCTTCTGTTGATCTGCAACCATAAATTCCACCAATGTGCAATCTTCCCTTCTAGTTATTTTTTTTTAAGTTTTTTTTTTTTAATTTATTCATGAGAGACACAGAGAGGCAGAGACATAGGCAGAAGGAGAAGCAGGCTCCTCACAATGAGAAGCCCGATGTGGGACTGGATCCCCGGACCCCAGGATCACACTAGAGCCGAAGGAAGACACTCAACTGCTGAGCCACCTGGGAGTCCCCCTTCTAATTTCAATCTAATAGGTTAACACTTGCATAAAGTGCCTACTATGTGCCAGACACGAGAAACATACTTCACATATTGCTATTTTTTTTTAATTTTTATTTATTTTATGATAGTCACACAGATATATATATATATATATATATATATATAGATATATAGAGAGAGAGAGAGAGAGAGAGAGAGAGAGGCAGAGACACAGGCAGAGGGAGAAGCAGGCTCCATGCACCGGGAGCCCGACGTGGGATTCGATCCCGGGTCTCCAGGATCGCGCCCTGGGCCAAAGGCAGGCGCCAAACCGCTGCGCCACCCAGGGATCCCCTGCTTTCTATTTTTTTAAGATTTTATTTATTTATTCATGAGAGACAGAGAGAGAGAGGCAGAGACATAGGCAGAGGGAGAGAAGCAGGCTCCCTGAGGTGAGCCTGATGTGGGATTTGATCCCAAGACCCCAGGGTCACAACCTGAGCCAAAGGCAGATAGATGCTCAACCACTGAGCCACCCAGACGTCCCCACATACTGCTCTCTAAACAGAGAATCTGAGGTGTAGAGAAATTCAGTCACTTGCCCAAAGTTACATAGCTAATAAGCGTCAAAGCCAAGATTTCAATCCAGGCAGTCTGATTCAAAAATCCATGCTTTATAACCACTACAAAATTTATGCTCTGACAATGACCACAACCTGAGCTGAAGGCAGACGCTCAACCACTGAACCACTCAAGTGCCCCAAGAATCACATTTATATATAAAGACACAAATAGGTTAAAAAGATGAAAAAAAAAAGTATAAAGTTCAGAATTACAGAGTTATAATAACCTCAACATTTAAAACACACAACACACACATGCCCCCATACTATTCACTTTATACACTAGCGTGATAAATAATAATAAATCTGGGCATGTCAGCCACAATGTACTTAAAAAGCCCTACAACATTTCCCCTCAATTATCGTCCAGTCTAGTAATACTGCAACAACAACAAAAAAAAATTAGTTTGTAACAGTGATCAAGACCAGTAAATAAAATAAAATAAAAAATAATAAAATAAAATAAGACCAGTAAATAAATGATTGCTATTTGGTGGGGGGGGGGGGGGGGAATTCCCCTAGAGGGAGAGGAAGAGAATCTCAGACTCCACACCCAGCATGGAGCCAGATGCAGGACTCAATCTCACAACCCTGAGATCTTGAGCCAAAATATCAAGAGCCAGGGGATCTCTGGGTGGCTCAGTGATTTGGTGCCTGCCTTTGGCCCAGGGCACGATCCTAGAGTCCCGGGACCAAGTCCCATGACTTGGAACCTGCTTCTCCCTCTGCCTGTGTCTCTGCCTCTCCCTCCCTCCCTCCCTCCCTCCCTCCCTCCCTCCCTCCCTCCCTCTCTCTCTCTCTCTCATAAATAAATAAATAATAAATAAATAAATAAATAAATAAATAAATAAATCTTTAAAAAAAAATTAAGAGCCAGATGCTCAACTGACTGAGCCACCTAGGCACCCTTAAATGACTGATACTTAATACTTCTGGGAATAACTCTTAATACACATTGTTTTAATATTTCATCATACTTAAAGTTTTGTTAAAAACCTCAGTGTGCAGAGGCACTTGGGTGGCTCAGCTGGTTAAGCAGGTCCCTTCAGCCCAAGTCATAATCTCAGGGTCCTGAGATCTAGCCCCACAGAGAGCTCTCTGCTCAGCAAGGAGTCTGCTTCTCCCTCTCCCTTTGTCCATCCTTTGCTTGTGCTCTCTAATCAAAAAATAAAATCTTAAAAAAAAAACAAAACAAAACCTCAAGCATACACATATAGCTAAATAAATGTACAGCTTGAACTTGTGGCAAAGAAAGTAAAACCAGGATGGTAAACTAAGCTCATATCCACCTAAGTACTTACCAGCTTCAGCTACCTGGTCTTCAACTGTAGGTGCTGAGGCTGCCTCTTCTTCCTCACATAGCCCATTCTGGTGGTTGTGAGTGCTGTCAAAGTAATTTGACTGGAAAACACGCTCAACAATTTCCTTTAGTGCTTTATCTAAAATTGAATATGAATTATAATGTTAGACTATCTCAGGATGCCTGACCTGAATAAGATTCAGCATGCTACAAAATGTTGCTTTAGAAAAAAACCTTATCAACTGTTACTGAAACATACATACAAAAAACCTTAGAGTCCAACAACAACAGAAATTATGGAATGACAGAGAATAAGAACCTATTAGTATTAAATTTTATATATTTAACTTCAAAAAAAATTAATTTTATATACTTAAAATAGTTCAAAACAAAAAGCTGACAATTATCATTTATTCATTTACCACCTACCTATATGTTGGACAATGTGCTAAGCAATAGGGCTACAATAAGATTTGTAAGACACAGTATCTGCCCTCCCTAAGTTTATATCCAACAAAGAATTATACAAATCAAATACAGTAAAATCACATCTGTGAAAAGTACTACACAGAGCTACAAGGGACTGGACCTCGGCAGGAAGAAACACCAAAGGCTTCCTGGTGTGTAAGTGTTGCAAGAGCACAGATCTGGAAGATGAGTAGTAGAAAGAAGTGTTTTGTTTTTTGTTTAAGATTTTATTTATTTATTCATGAGAGAGAGAGAAAGAGAGAGAGAGAGAGAGAGAGAGAGAGAGAGAGGGGCAGACACAGGCAAGGGAGAAGCAGGCTCCATGCAGGGAGCCCAATGTGGTACTCGATCCTGGGTCTCCAGGACCACACCCTGGGCTGAAGGCAGCGCTAAACCGCTGAGCCACCCGGGCTGCCCCAAGGCAGAGACAACAGCATTTACAAAGCCCTATATAAAGGGAAAAGGTGCCAAATACAAGAAAATGAAAGCATGTGCTATGGCTGAGGCATAGGAAGAAAAAGCATAAAGAAAGACAAGTCTGAGAAGGGCCAGAACATGCAAGGTCCTTAAGTTGAAGACAACTATACATAAAATATAAGTAAAAGAAAGCCATTAAAAGAATTTAAAGAGCTGGAGAGGGTGGATTCAGTTAAACTGCATTAGCAAAGACAGGAAGATAAGTGGCAGACAAAAAGAAGTAGATACATTCAAAAGATATTTGAAAGTCAAAACTCAGAATTTGGCACACTTGGATATTAAGTGGGCAGGGTGGCAGGGGCAGTATGTGTCAAGAACTAATTTTAATTTCCTGGCCTTATATAGTACACGTAGAATGTACCTATGTATGTAGAATGTATTTAATTTCCTAATAGGTCACTTTACAGAAAAAACTTCAAAGACAGTATTAAAATATAAAGTTAATCCTGTTAACAATAAAACAACTTTTTGAATGAACATTTCATGTTTCCCTACCCCTCCATCAGAGGCTCGTGACTCTCAGAACAATCAGTTTTAAAAAAAAAAACCGATGGATGAAAACTGAATGCACATAAAAACACCAATTTGAGTTCATTAGTACCTTTTCATTAGCAACAAAGATGTTACGTTCCTAAGATGAAAGAACAAGACTAGGTAGAAACACCAAAACAAGCTACAAGCTTAGATATTTAACCCTTGTTACTCCTCAATAATGATCATGAAAATCTATCAGGCTTAACCTAAAACTACTTTTTCAAGCTAATAAGTTTATACGCATATGTAAATTTCTTTCTCTCTCTCATGAATTCAGTACATTTATGGGGCAGAACTAAAATCAAGAAGCCCAAATGATTTTTTTTTTACAAAGAAATACAGTAAATAAGTTAACAAACCAAAAAAATTATTTCTTACATGAAAAGATACAAAAAGGTTGGTTCCTCATATTTGATTTACCCATTTCCTTAAAGCAAATACACTCCAAATTGCGTCATACAGTTTTTCCAATTAAAGCTTTTAATCCAATTTTTCAAAGAGCTAAAAATAAGGTATAAACACAGATATTTTCACCTTAATATGTTCAAAATCTATTTCCCTAAATCAACTTTATAAATAGTGAAGATTAGAACTTATTCTCTTACTTACTAACAGAATAAACCTGAAGTTCCTAATTTACTGAGGCAGTGAAGCTTAAATGTCCCTTTATTTTCTTTAAAATACACATTGCACATCTGAGATTACGGTTTTAAAAAAAAATACAAAAAAAAACTTCGCTCTCAAATTAGCAAATGTCTAATTTTTAAAAAAAAATAAAAACTAAAAGACATAGGCAATGACCATGAATGTATGAAGTACAGGAAGTATTTTTCACAAAATTTCAGCCATAAGGGAAAAACAGTCCCTATCTAATGCCAACATCTCTGAAAAGTCTATTTGGTGTTAATCTGTCCACTCCAAGCAGAGTTATAAACAAAGCCATGTTAAGTTAGGATTCCCATCTCTACATATATACAATTGGTGTTTTTGATGTACACACACACACACACACACACACAACAAGAAAAAAAAAGGGAATAAGCCAAAAAAGTAAACAGTAGGTAAATGTTTACACAGTTGGGAAATTTCTCAAATTATACTGCTTTTTATTTAAAAACCAATCTTTTAAAGATTCTTAGTTACAAAACAAAAATTTCTGTTAATACTCACAGGTTGTTCCACATACAGACTTTTCCTTTCCTTCCAGCAAGTCCCACAGGTGAATGGAAGCATGTTCATACTGCTCATTCAACCTTGTAATAATAATGAAAAGCTAATTAGTTACCTTTTAGTTGTCAAATCAACATTTAGAAGTTTCTACTATCAAATACCACTATACCTCAAGCTCATGTCCCGTTCAGGGTCTGCTAATTTGTAGAATTCATCCAACAACGACAATTCTTCTTCAGACAATATTGGCACTCCATTCAAACCTTGCTTCAGGTCAGTTCTCACCTCATCATCTCCCAATTTGTCCAAAACATACTGGAGCTCAAGTACAGTTTTTAAACGTTTTTGTTCCGCTTCCTCTCTCATAAGCTGCTCCCGACGTGCAGTCTTCTTTATTGTTTTCTGAATCTGCATAAAAACAAAAGACACTGAAATGAATTTCACAAAACTCCTAATTTAGTTCAACCAACTTTATATCCAACGTATATACAACATATTTCACTCAGAGTTCTGTGATGCTGATATACAGAATGATGATTCCCAACTTACAAATAAGAGTTTAATACATCATCTGTTTTTTTCCTATGGAAAAAAAAAATGGTACCAATTTTTCATTTTAAATAACCGACTTCGACTCACAAAGAGACGCTAAAACCCATCACTGCCTTCCTCGCCCCCAACAATCTGCTGCTAGTACTCTATCATCCCAACTTTGAAAACAGCGACTAGGGAATGCATGGCTGGCTCAATTAGTAGAGCACGCAACTCTTGACATCAGTGTCATGAGTTCAAGCCCCATGTTGAATGTGGAACGTACTTAAAAACAATAATTAATTGGGACGCCTGTGTGGCTCAGCAGTTGAGCGCCTGCCTTCAGCCCAGGGTGTGATCCTGGAGTCCCGGGATCGAGCCCCACATCAAGCTCCCTGCATGGAACCTGCTTCTCTTTCTTCCAATGTCTCTGCCTCTCTCTGTGTGTCTCTCTCATGAATAAATAAAATCTTTAAAAAATATTAACAATAAATTTAAAAAAATAGAAATGGACTTGTAGTAAAAGATAGATATAGGTTAAATACACATATATTTTTCCCCACTAAGTACACACACATTTTTTTCCCCACCATTCTCTTCCTACTAGTAGTCTTTTGCTTTCCTGGGAAGGTAAAGGGAGAGCATCAACCAAACCCAAGTATGTCTCTCTTTTCTCATGTAGCTCAGCTTGGGGTCAAAGAAAAGTCAGACTTTTCAAGAGCCATGAAAGTGTTTTCCCTCAGACCTTCTCCCCTTTTTCAAGCCTCACTAGGACGAGAAAACCAAATAAAGACATATGAAATGTACAATAAAGGCAGAAATGGGGAAGAAACCTAGGAGAACAATGAAGTCTGCAATAAGAAAGAAGAGTAAGTCTGCTGTGATGGCAGCAAAGAGGGTAGCAGATTAAATGATATTTAGCAGTAAGTGGCAAGTGAATACCACATATGAAGAGAGACGAAATCTAAGCTAGGGCAGTACAGAAAGCTTTCAAGGAGAACATGACATCTACCCCTAAGATAGACGAGCTTTCAATCTTATTGCGGAACAGGGCCTGTCAGGGCTGTGCAATTTTATGGTAGAGAGGCAGCCAGTAGCCAGAGGCAGGAAATACAGGAAGAGAGACAGGAAATGTGAAATAAGTCAAGAAAGCAAAAGAAATAAGATAAAGAATGCCACTTTGGATAAAATGAGCAGCTTAAGAAAGAAAATGGAAACTCAAAAAGGTAGGCTGGAGCTAGGTTAAAGAACTCTTGAATTAAAACAAAAAAGGTGTTTAACAATTGTAGGAAAGTGCAATAAAGGATCAGAGTTCAATAAAAAAGACTGCCAATGAAGTTAAACAATCAGTGAAAAGCTCCTGAAAATACCAGCGTTAAAACCGAAGCAAAGGAGAATACAAGTATTTTCACTTATGCAGTGTTAGCAGCTTGAGGAATAGACTGATTCTATTATTAAACTGTACAGCAATCCTACTTCTATGATCCATTTTTTTTTTAAATCATAAAAAGAAATTGGTCAGGATTCATCAAGCCTGAGGTTCTGACCTAGGTGAAGAACAATTCCTTACTTGGATGTAAATTAAGTTTCCTTTATTCCATTTTGAGGGATATTACCAAGACTTTCTTTCCACCTTTAATCAAATTTAATAAGTAACAGTATTAAGTGCATAATATATATTAGCCATGTACCAAATACTATTCCAAGCATGACCGTATAATGAGGTAGGGACCATTATTACCATTTAACAGATTAGAAAACTGAGGCAGTGTGACACAGCCCCTCTCCCCACTTCTCTTCCTATACTACTAATTCTGTTTCTCTGGAAAATCCTGAATGATCTAGGGATAGACAAGTTCAATAACTCAAAGTCCTACAATTATTAAGTAAAAGTGGCAGAATCAGGATTCAACAGTGTGGTTCCAGAATCAGAACTTTATATCTCTGTACTGCAATGTCTCTCATCACATAATAAATTTTGTTTTGTTGATTCATTTTACCAAATCAGAGCAACCTTGTATTGCAATGCTATTAATCTTTCTCCAAATAAGCTAATTAGAAGGATATGAATTTTCTGGTCTCAACTTTCAACAAATCATTTGATTTTGCTTGTATTTAATTTCCATCCTGTTCCCAAAGACTTCTATCACATCAAAACATGTATAGGGGGGATCCCTGGGTGGCTCAGCGGTTTAGCGCCTGCCTTTGGCCCAGGGTGTGATCCTGGAGTCCCAGGATCGAGTCCCGCGTCAGTCTCCCGGCATGGAGCCTGCTTCTCCCTCCTCCTGTGTCTCTGCCTCTCTCTCTCTCTCTGTCTACCATAAATAAATAAATAAATCTTAAAAAAAAAATATATATATATATATATACATAGGAAAACACACCACTTTGTCAGATCACAAGTTGCTACAAGAGCAATGCAGGGATCCCTGGGTGGCGCAGCAGTTTGGCGCCCGCCTTTGGCCCAGGGCACAATCCTGGAGACCCGGGATCGAATCCCACGTCGGGCTCCCTGCATGGAGCCTGCTTCTCCCTCTGCCTGTGTTGTGTCTCTGCCTCTCTCTCTCTCTCTCTGTGACTATCATGAATAAATAAAATCTTAAAAAAAAAAAAAAAAAAGGAGCAATGTATCCCAGTCTCCACATAACTTAAGATCCCTAATGGAAGCTGTAATTACCAATTATAAAAACAAAACTCTATTTTCTGAAAGTTCATATAGAAACTTTGGTAGGATGGTCACTAGGCATAAAGGAATATGTGGAAAATAAATGTTTACATACAAGGAATATATGGAAAATAAGTTTATGTGTCTGCGTATGTATATACTTAAAAGCTAATTTTTTTTTTAACAATGAGATATTTAGGGTAACTACTACATATGTTTGTCATATCTGAAACCTCAGTCCTCAGGCATCTATCAGGTGTTACATTAAACTTTACAGAATTGGAAAGCATCTTAGGTATACCTGGATCCAATTCTCTCCACTTGCAGAGAACTTATCAATAGTAATGCAAGGACAAAACCCCAAAGCAACAAAATTTCTGCTTTCCTTATTTTTAATATTTCATAAACATATTTATGGTCTTTTACTTACATCTTGACTTAATGCCATGAAACTCCTCTGTAATTCTTTTGCAAACTCCAAGTTATTTGTGACTTCCTGGTACTTAGATACGGCATCCTAAAATAGCAGAGACAAAACCCAACTTTACTAAAAACACAAAGAACTACAAATTAATTTTCTTATTAAAAACAGTGAGCATATATAGTCTTTAATAAAATATAGCATCTTTACCAGCTGATCTTGATTAAGCCTTTCCCCTTTGTTCATTCGTTCCTGGTAATCATCAAGCTTGCCCTATATTAAGAGAAAAAAAATAATAATTATGCCCCACATTAAAGTATATGCCAGCCTAACCATGCTGAAATAACAAACCTATAAAATCCTCTAAAGTTCATCTCAAATCTTGACATAAAGATACTTTTTAGTTAACTTCAATTTAAGTTAATGCATAAAATAAGTTAGCTTAATAGTGAGCTAAAAAAATGAATGTAGGTATTCTAGCCCCTGTATAATGACACCAAATTTTGTACAAGCCAATGACATGACATAACATTGCTTATTCTTTAGGTTTTTCAAAAAAGATATGCATCAGATGGCCTGCACAAATGATTCCTACCCACACAAATGAGGGCCACAATTTGGTTACAATCCTGATACAGGAGCATATCAGACATTTTATAGTGCTGAATTCTCTTGTCCCTCTCCTGCCCCTTGCCAAAGAATTCATGAGACTGATATAAAAAGTGTATTTCGCCCGAATAAAACCCAAGTGCATATTATCTTTGATGTGCTTCATCCATCATGCTTTTAAATAACATGATACTTCGAGTTATCACTTCACCTATGGACAGTGTGCTAGTCAACAGCTTTGTTTTATTTTCTCACCCATGGAATTAAATGTGTGACAGTGGGAACAGAAAACTCACCTCTGGTTTAAGTCATCATTATTTTCACTAAAATGAAAACTTTGACAGTTTCCCAGGCTACTACTATTCGATAAGACCCCAAAGAAAAGATACCCAAGTAATGCAATAGTCAAGAATTGAGTTATTGTTTAAAAGGTCAAAAGAAAGGGAGTAAATAGAAACCTAAATTAAGGGGGAGAAAATTTATTTTAACAGTGGGGACAGAGGGAGGGGCAGAAGGAGAGAGAAAGAGAATCTAAGTAGACTCCATGCCCAATGTGGAGCCTGACATGGGGCTCAACACTGAGTTCATCACTTGAGCTGAAATCAAGAGTTGAAAGCTTAACCAACTGAGTCACCCAGGCACCCCCAAGGGGGAAAAATTTAATTAATATAATCACAATAAATTATGAACATACACTTGTTCCTTACCCATCGCAAAAATAAAATTAACATGAAACAAAATATAAAATAATTCTGAGAGCAGCCCTGGTGGCACAGCAGTTTAGCACCGCCTGCCACCCAGGGTGTGATCCTGGAGACCCAGGATCGAATCCCACATCCGGCTCCCTGCATGGGGCCCGCTTCTCCCTCTGCCTGTTGTCTCTGCCTCTCTCTGTGTGTGTGTGTCTCTATGAATAAATAAATCTAAAAAGAAATAAAATAATTCTGATAAAATGCATTCAGGGTCAAAATAAGTTTAAAAATAATACTAATTCATTTTAGGTCAAATGTTCCATTTCCTTTGTACTAGAAATAGTCAACTTACATAACCATTCCACCCTAAATTAAAAAGCCTAACGGGATACCTGGGTGGTTCCGTGGGTTAAGCATCTGCCATTGGCTCAGGTCATGATCCCAGGGTCCTGGGATTGCACCCCATGTTGGGCACCCCACTCAGTGGGGAAGTCTGCTTCTCGTCCTCCCCCTCAGCTCATTCTCTCTCTCTCTCTCAAATAAATAATCTTAAAAAAAAAAAAAAGCCTAACAATTCCTAGTTATCTTGGAGGTAAATAAAACCAAGATAAACATTAAAAAAACGTTAAAGGCTGGGCGGCTCAGTGGGTTAAGGGCCCGCCTTTAGCTCAGGTCATGATCCCAGGGTCCTGGGATGGAGCCCCACATCAGGTTTCCTGCTTGCTAGGAAGCCTGCTTCTCCCTCTCCTGCTCCCCCGGTTGTTGCCTGCATGCGTGCGCTGCCAAATAAATAAATCTTAAAAAAATAATTAAAGGCTGATGAAAGTATCCAATTGTATTATTAGGTGGATTATTTCACAAGATAACCTCCAGCTGAAAGTATAAAATTTAGGTTTACCAGTTGAAAAATGAAGGCAGGCCTAATTCCAGGTAAAAAAAGATATGATCAACTGCCTTTGAACACTCTTTAGAGGATGAATAAAGACAGTTCATTCTTTTTTAAAAGGGTAGGCTACTTTTCTTTTAAGAAATAAAAAACCAAAAAAAAAAAAAAAAAAAAAGAAATAAAAAACCAAACAAGATTTGCTTTTAATGATGACAACTTAGGGGAAAATAATACCTAATTATAGTCAGGATTCCTCTATTTAGAAATATAGAGCTAATAGAAAAGAGGAGATTAAAAAAAAAAAAAGAAAGAAAAGAGGAGATTGGAAAGAGGGCCTGAAATGTAGTGCTAGTACAGCAAAAATTCTGAATTCACTACCAGGCAAAAGAAAAACAGCTATTAGCTTATAGCTAGCATTTATTATCTTCCCTTTTTATACATTTTTCAAAGAAGCTGTTGCTAAATCTAAAGTAATAGAGTTGAGCACACTATGTATCCCTCCTAGGATAGAGTTTTATTTATCTAGCTTAGCTTTATCATTTAACGACTTAAGAACTTAAAACATACATGCCAATCAAAATGAATGTCAAATCAAATTCCTAAAAAATGTATATATATAAATATATATATAAAAGCGTTGTTTTTTTTTTAATGTCAAGGATGGTACCTGAGTGGCAGAACTATAGGTGGAACTTTTTTCCTTTCGCTTTGTTTTATACACTTAGATACTCTGCAGTGAACACACACCGTTTGTATAAAAGACTAAAACTTCATGCCATAAAAAAGATATTAAGAATGACAGATTTTAAGATTCTGCCAAGATGTTAACATGCAATAATCCTTGAATATGAATCTATACTATCTCATATCACAACAAGCTATCCTCAAGCAGAAAAGCTCCAATTTTCTACAAAATAACAAATTTAGGGCAGCCCGGGTGGCTCGGTGGTTTAGCGCCTGCCTTCAGCCCAGGGCGTGATCCTGGGATCCAGGGATCGAATCCCACGTCGGGCTCCCTGCATGGAGCATGCTTCTCCCTCTGACTGTATCTCTTTCTCTTTCTCTGTCTCTAATAAATAATTTTTTTAAAAAATCTTAAAAAAAAAAAACAACAAATTTAGTATTTATCCAACCCAAAACTCTAAGGCAGATGACATCTTCCGAAGATGGGTACATCTGCAGTTCCACATACTCTTCTACCATGTGACCTTGGCATTGCCCCCACTTAGAATTAGTCCAATTCCTCAGCCACTATATTAAGTGGGCTTCAACCACCAGAGTACAGCAGAAGTGATCCTGTGTGACTTCCAAGGCTGTGTCATACAAGCAGTGTTTCTCTGTCCTGTTGCTGGTCACTAAAACACTCATGTTTGGAGCCCCAAGCCATCCCGTAAAGAGTCCAATAACCCTGAAGTGGCCATGCCATGAGGCAGCCAAGCCCCGAAGAGGCCTTACGCAAGAACTCTGATCAGCAATCCTAGTGCTAGAGTCATGCTAACCCAGGCAACAGACATGAGGGTGAACAAGCCTTAGTCTCCCCAGCTGAGGCGCCAGGAATCAGAGCAAAGACACGAATGCCACCGTGTGCACCGTCTGAATCCCCAACAGGCATAATCTGTGTGCATAAGAAAATGGAGTAAGTTTTGGAGTAACCTATTACACAGGAGCAACTGGAACAAGGTTAAAAGGGAAATCAAAAGACAGGGAAAGCAGCTGCTATGTGCAACTGAGTTTCACAGTACAGATCTTCACTGAACAGTCACCAAAACTATGTAGAAACTTTGCAGCCAAAACAAAGATCTATTTCATTAAAACTCATATATCTAATTTGACTTTTATGTTGCTAGAAGGGGTTCCAAATTTTTCAATCCATGATTTAAGAGCCATAATTTTTAAAGGGAGGACTGACACTGACACCATAAGAAATGAATTTACTTTGACAGAAGAAACATGTTTAAAAAGTCATGATAACTGAAAAATCTCAAAGACCTTTAGAAGGGGATTTTCAAAAGCTGACCCACACTTCCTTATACCTGGTGAGTTGAATTAATGCAGCTGTAGTGATGCAATCAAAAAATGTCATTAATTCCATGATGGGAACTACAGCTCTTTTGTAAAACATTTTTCTAACCATAGTAAAACAAAAGTCTCATTACAGTCTTACATTTCTTCCTCGATAGCCATTAGTGTTTGCTATTCTGTTAAAAATATCCTATCCCCTTGTTCTGGCCTAATCTTCAAAAAAGCAGGATGCTAAGTCTGGTCAAAGTTCCTAATAAACAGCCCTCATTTAAGGAAACTCAAACTTACTAATAAGATTGCAGTGACAATTAAAAAACTGTTCTACATTAAAAGGCTAGTTTTGGTTTGTTTGTTTTATCAGTATAATACAGGATCTCCTGGCTGCTTAGGTTTATAGGGACTTATCACCACAGAATTTGAACTAAGAGAACCTCTGTTCACTATTACATACGATGACCTCTCTACATTGTAGGGACCTTGTGTTGATCTATAAATCAGTCATTTTTAAAGTGCGATCCCCAAACCAGCAACCTATCAGCATCCACTAGGAACCTGTTAGAAATGTAAATTCTCATGGTGCCTGGCTGGCTCAGTCCATGGAGCATGCAACTCTTGATCTTGAGGTTGTGAGTTTGAGCTCATGGTGGTATATAGGTCACTTAAAAAAAAAAAACAAATGAGAAGAAAGAAAGAAAAGAAGAAAGGAAGGAAGGAAGGAAGGAAGGAAGGAAGGAAGGAAGGAAGGAAGGAAGGAAGGAAGGAAGGAAGGAAAGAAAGAAAGAAGAAAGAAAGAAAGGAAGGAAGGAAGGTGAGGTCTCCAGCACCATCCCAGGTGCCTCTGTGTTTTATCAAGCCCTCTGGGTAATTCTAATTGTGTGCTTAAGTTTGAGGAAACACTCACCTAGATCAAATACATTGTAATTCCCTTGTAATATTATATTACAGAAATAAATTATTCTGAATCAAACATCTGAAACAAACTGTGACCATAAAAATTACATGGCAGCCTCAATCTGGTTCAAGTTTAGCTTTAAACAAACTCAAAAACCTTGTTGAGTGGTGGT